ATTCTCTTTTTTGTGTCAGTGATCCAAACGTCTTTCTTGAACTGGCGGGTCGTTAAAAGATAAGCATGTCGATAACTACTCTATCATTTCTCGAACCAAATAAGAAATAGATAGATAGATAGATAGATAGATAGATAGATAGATAGATAGATAGATAGATAGATATGCTTGTGTTGGGTGAGTAGGTGTAAATGTGTATGTGTCAGGTATAGATTTATGCATGCGTGCTTGGTGATATACAACAAACACCACTGTATATTCCCTCATTTTCAAACGCGCACACACACACACACACACACACACACACACACACACACACACACACACACACACACACACACACATATATATATATATATATATATACACACACATATATATATATATATGTGTGTGTGTGTATCAGTTTATCCTATATATATAGGATATAATATTTGTCTTAGCCATCAAAACACTGATGATTATATTGGATAATATCGAAAGTACTCGGGAAAAATAAAAATTAATAAATATGACCATAGTAACTTTCCTGCTAGCTTTATTCATGAAACAAGAAAGCTTATACGTGATTACGAAAGTTTTGCATTGAAAATAAATAAACACATGTATAAGTTGTTTAATCATATATATATATATATATATATATATATATATATAAGTGTGTATGTTGACGAATAATCTGTATGACCGATTTCTTATTTTTACAGATGGCCGACCTCAGTTTATACATTCAATGAGAGACAAGGCAAAGTGAACTGTGCACAATTCGATGACTTGCGAATCGTCAGCGTGTCTCGCAAACATCGTATCGTTATTCGGGATTTTGGCTATTCATTGTAAGTCGCTTTTCCTAAAATTAAATATCTGCTTGAAACTATCGTTCCCTACGTTTTAATTTTACACTGCATTCATTGTTTATTTATATGAAACACCGAGGCTTTTGTTTACCTTATGCACATCAACAAATAGCTCTGTGAATATGGAGATCTACAGTTGTATTAAACTCGCGTGTTTATTCACTTATTTTGTTTTGTCTTTTTTTAACATCCTCTTAAACGAAATCTTTTGCAATTAAATTCTAAAAACAGGTTTTTCAACGGCTGCTGAGATTTAATATTCTATACGGATACATAGAAGACTGGGTAACATAATATCGTTTGTGAAGGATCTTAGGAAACTATTTTTTTTTAATGAGGCCTTTTTAACGTCCTTGGAATCAATTTTATTCCCAATTGTGTGTCTTTGAAAATAGATTTCTTTCAAAGTTTAGAATTTCTGAACGGGTCAAATAGAATTCACTTACCTTCCAACGAAAATTTTAAATAACACTCGTACCTCGTGACAGGATTTTTTTTTCTTCGAGGGAGGAAAACACATTTGTGTGAAATTCATGTTGCAAACTATATATTTGTATTCAAAAGTTTGAATCATATTTTTTTCTTGAAGTAAATATCAAATAAATCTTACACACACTTGCACGTACATATCACATTTTTGGAACTGTTTCGCGTCTGAACTATATGGGATCTTTGTTCTAGCGGTATAGATTTGTGTTCGGGTCTTCTTATTCTATGTGCTATCACGGTTCTCCATAATATATCCTTTTAGCTCTTAATAAATTATGTTTCTTTGTTAGCACTCCCAAAGCCTATTCCGTTGTATATTAATTCAAGTTCAACAAGTAGGTTATGCTTTGTTTACCTCTATCCTTCTTGCGACAAAACTGTTCTGTGGGTACCAGATATTCCAATACCTCTTTCCTCATTATGTCCTTGATATTTCAATTGTCTCTCCCTGATGTTAAACATGTTTTCATTTGGTTCATTTTCTATAAAAATTTAGTCGTGCACACACGATTGTTCATTGTATTCACAATATCCTTCTGTAGAAGCATATTTCTGTTGCATCAAGTTTTTTTTTTTATTAATTTGAAATGAAAGTTTCTAGCATTCTCTGCCATATAATCTGAGTGATATTACTTAGCAATTCAGTACTCTTTTCTTTATTCCTAACGAAATTTTCCTGTTTCTTAATATTTTGCTTAGCTTGTGAAAGGCATCGTTTGCTATGCCAGTGTGCCTCCGGTTTTCAGTGTCGAACTACTCGTCCTCCGTTAAAACATTTCTCAGATGTTTAAATTCTTGTAATGGTTTGATTTTGTTATCTCCAATTTTTAATTTGCATGTTGGGCTGGTCTTTTTTTTTTAATTAATCCTCGAAGTGAAACACTTTTTTATTTAATATTATTAAAATATCACTGGCCATTTTATTGAAATTGTTATTACAGATTCACGGACAGTTATATTAACTAAAATATATTATAACCTATATCTCTCGGTTATTTAATATATATGCATATTTTTCTTCTTTATTTGTAGGTATCAAGACAAACTACTTGGAACGAAAAAGATTCTTCAACTTCGTCATTGAGATTTGGAAACCTGATTTGGTCCGAACGCGTGTTGTAATTTTTCGAGACCTTGAATATTATGAAACACTGCTATCAATAATTATAACTCATTTTTGATGGTGCGAAAATATTTCAATGGAATCCATTTGTATCAAATATAATGATTTGGAAAATACTAACATAATCTAAATTCTGAGATTTCGTCTGTTTGTCTGCCCGTCCTTAACACTCTCTAAAATAGCCATACATTGACCGATCGAAGCCAAATTTGGGTGGGAATATTACACAGGTAAGGGGGTAGATTTAGTTTTGCTTGGTTACCGAGATTAGTATATAAAATTCTGTGACTTCAGTTAGTCCGTCCCTCCGACAGACCCGTCTGTTCAGCATACCCTCTAAAATAGCCACACTGAGACACTATAAAGTACCACTGGTTTTAGTTGAAAGAGTTAATAAAGCTATTATTGTGACAGTGATAGTATAAGAAGAGTTAAAATGGTTCATATGAAAACGCCGTATAAGATTTGGAGAAGTGAATAGGTTAAAAACGTTAAGATGCAAACATGAATGGAAATATGACACAAGAGAATTTTCTTTTCCTTTTGATGAATAGAAAGGCAAATGGAATTGATATGATTCGCACAGCCGATAATGTATACAAACTAAAATAAGATGTGAGGAATGAAGAATGCAGCGTGGCTGTCAGCAGAGAAAACATGGAATTGTTATAAATCACAAAGACAATAATATGAACAGACCGAAATATGGTTTTGTAAACGTGCAAACTAGGTAAAGATTTTAATCGGTCATATTGAAAAGTCGACAACAAAGAAAATTATTTGATGTCAAGAACATATGAAAGAATTTATAAACACAATGTTTGTTGTCGAAGAATGTATTGTCTTAAATAAGGCTCGATTTGTTTGAAGGTCAGTATCGCTTCTCCAGAATTGAATAGATAATTAATGGATTTATATGAATATTAATGAATCTTGAGATGCAGTAGTAGTCGGACGAAATACATATAAACGGGAGCTTAGGCGACCTAAAAAAGCAGACATCAAAAGCTGTCAGAAGTCAGAAGGATGAAGAAACCACGTGACTAGCTGCTACGAGAATTTCCAACCTGTTTTTCCAGCCTGTATTTTTTTTTTTTTTTTTTTTGTTTATCCATCTCCAAGTTTTAGAAAAAGCGTCACGATAAAGAATTTAACGGAAAGGGTTAATTTTGTTGTATCAATAACAATATAAACCAATTGAAAATTAACCCGGCGACCTTCTTCGTTATTTTGTTATGCCATTTTTATTTTCGCAAGCGGAAACGTTCTTTGTCATTTTGTAGCATGGTTTCGCCGTGGTTTGTCCCAGGACTCGAGTTCGAACGAAATTCGATTTTCACTGCTCTGTGATCAAAGAACGCAGCGTGGGGAAGTAGCAGATGAAAGAATGAAGCGGCATCACTGACCAACGTGGTTAGGCCCCAGGATCGACCCAGCCAGCGCTGTTATAATACATTGACCAATCGAAACGAAATTATGGGATGAAGTGCAAACAGGCGATGGGGGATAAAATACAGTTGGTTTTACAATAAATTTTCATTAAAAACATTGAGTACAATAACTTTTATTTAACATACAAAATACACCCATTGCATTAAAAAAACATTTTAATGGTTAAAATATCAAATACATATTTAATAAAAGTGCAGTATTGCTTTTTGCATATCTTTCCTTTAAGTTTTTATATTTCATCGATTTGTTGACGAAATTGAACGAAACATCGAGCTTGTAAGTCTTGACAAAATATGTTAGTGATAACTTCAACAATACTAAATATTGTAAGGATTTTAACACGCTTGAACATGTTGCAATTCTAGTATAATATAAATCTAAAATATAATTTATTTTACTAAAATTCGAGATTTCTTCATCAGAATCAATTTTCATAACATGTTTACACAGAAAACAAGAAACTCATTTTAGAAATATATTCTGGTTTCACTTTTATGAATGTTTCATTTGCTGTCTATCAAAGATTTTCTGTTAACTGGAAAAGGAAAGAAAGCCAGAAAAAAAAATCTGTGATTATTCAAATTTTAGCGCCGGAAAATGTGGTGAAAGTTTTAGATTTCTGAGGTCATACATTCGTCTTTGCTTACATCTTGAAATATTCGTAAAGATTGTTCTTTGACGAGCACAATTTTAACAGCTCATTTAACAGTATAGAAAGATCACAGTTGAAAAGTAAGACTCGTGTCACCTCGCTCCGCCATTAACAAGCTCGTAAAACCATCAACCAGCTTCCGTACAATTTCAAAGACCGGTTTCCGAATAAAAGTTTGGCATCAACTGTTGTTACGGTTTTCATTCAAGTTACAGCGGAGCCGCTCGATAAGATGGTCTCCACTTTTTAAAGATGTCATGTCCTCGATTAATTTTCAATTTTTAGATTCGAACTATAGTTGTATGGTAGGAAAACAAAAACAGTAACCATTCGACAACGCACACATTGGATTTTATTTGTGGCAAATCTCAGGATTCATGACTCTCTACAAAATCCTGTATTTCTTCTCTCTAATTATTTTTGGCTCACGGCCTTATCACGTTCAAAATACCGGTTCCCGTACGGTCACCGAAGTTAAACAGCGTCGAGCCTGATCAGTACCTAGATGTGTGTCCGCTTGCGAATAACAAGTATTGTCAGGTTGGATTTGCGGTTGGTGTAATAGACAACACCTCGAAATTGTTAATGAGAAAGCCGAGTTTCAATTCCCATTGGCGTCATTATATTACGTTACACGCAAATACCCTTCGGAAAGGTATGGATCCACCTCAAATCAACAATTAGTTGTATCACTAAACTATTATTATCTCATAAAATTACAATATAAAGATATTTTCTGGCTTTAAATAACTTGCAACGTGTTGATAAGCCGTATAAATTGTATCAATCAATTAGTCTAATACTGATTATCTACCCAGGTATGTATTTTACATGTATTTACATCCTCTGGAATATAAATGTATGATAATTACCGTGGCCATAATGTAAGGGATCAGTTTATATATTGATTGTAATACCGAATTCATGTCCTCCTTTATACACATGAATATCTTTTGTTTGTTTATCCAATTCTGATTAGGTATGCATCCACCTCTTCTCCCCCAGATATGTGTTAATTAGTAAAATTTTAATCACTTAATTATTATTATCTTACCGCCACCCCCCCCCACCACAAATGATTATTACCGTCTAAAACTATTTTCTAGCTTTAAATCACTTGCCAAGTATTGAGGAGTCGTATTGAGGAGTCGTAGAAAGTGATTCATTTAAATCTAATAACTTTTGGGGCCTTTTACATCCATCTTTGACCTCGTCCTCCAACCCATTCACCCAAATTAGTTAAGCAGGTTACTCGCTGTTGTTACCTTTTACTCTTGATTTTATATTATCCTGTGAGTGCTAAATTCTCTACGCCCTCATTCCTAATAAGTTACCGCTTTGAAAATAGTGTGAAGAAATAATGGAATTTTAGTTTTATTCTTATTTTCATTTTTTTCGTATGAATTCACACACACACACACACACACACACACACACACACACACACACACACATATATATATATATATATATATATATATATATATATATATATATATAGACACACAAACACATTGGAACCTTGGTTCACGGACTTAATTTGTTCCTGAAGGTCGTTCGTAAACCGAAATATTCGTCAACTGAATAGGAATCCATCCATACAAAAAATGTCAGAGTACAATAAAATTGGAAAAGAAAAGGACAACAAAACACAAGAATGTATAAACACCGCCGTCCACTCAGAAATTATTCCTTTCGTGTTAACTCGGTTCAGCAATCTTCTTCGAGAACTGAATTTGTTTTTAGTAACCGAGGCATTTTCACTTCGAATTTTCTGTTCGATAAACTGATTTGTTTGACATGTGAGACGTTCGTAAACCGGATACATCAAACTGGATAACTTTTTTTAAAATTCGATCTATTTATGCTTGTTAGACTATATTTGTTGGTGGGAGAGGGACTTTCCTTTTATGTTTGTTCGTGATGACACTTTATTTACATGTTTCACCCTGTACAAGACCCGAAAGCCACTCGTGGAAGACGGTTACAGAGTAAGAGTCACTATGATGATAATGCCAACACGCAAGTGGCCACCGGAAGTGAAAGATAAGGAAAATACTTTAGAAGAACCGGAAACCAAATCCTAATCGGGAAACACGGGACAAACCTCTACTCCTGTCTAAAAGTCCTGGCGCGGGGTATGTTACCGGACGATATGTGACCACTCGGGTTTTCCCTAGTTTTCTGTAACTTGGTAAATGAGAGTGGACATTTTCTAAACTAAAGGAATATTTGTTCCAATAATTTAGTAAGTAGCTAATGTTAATCGGTAGATTAGTGATGTCACGATAAATCTTGTCGGGCTCATTAAAATACGAGCTGAATAAGTTTACCAAGTTTTAATGAAGCCAAAATTTGAATAAATTCATGAATGCTTTATTGCCTCGACACGTATATTATCAAAAAATGGAATAGAAATTTCGATGTATTATTTCGTGCATTGATAATATAAATAGCTAGTAATAAAATAATGTTTAAATGCCACTTTGTTTATTCAAGTTTATCGTACGATATTTACTTGTGTTTAGATTTCAAACCTCGACTTCAAATACTTTCTATTGAATACTCATTTACTTTGAGGTCCCAACCAGAGTAAATTCAAAAATGCCATCATAACATATTAGCTGAAAATAAAAGCGTACATATTTTACATTGATACAGCACTTGGTAAGGTGTGAGCTGTATTTTTGAGAATAATCTTTTGTAATTCTTGTAATTCTTTAAAGCATGAGATGCCAGGAATCCATTCAATGAGGCAATCTGAACCTTTTTTCAATAAAGCAACTACAATTTGGATTATTGATGCCCTCATGGGCTACATTTGTTAGATTTACACTTCAAGATCCTTGTATTTTGATAGATTTTCTAGATCTTCAGAGACACATTACAGTCTTACAAGAAATGCCATGTCTGTAAGAAAGCGCATTCTGTTTTTGTAAGTTTTGATCCCTATGCTTTGACGATTAGATTTGATAGTTATGTCTGTGTGTATTGTAAAGTACCATAAAAATGTTACACATCCTTTGTCTGTAACCAGTTCTGTTTAGTGTTCGTATCAATTGCTTGTAGTTTCCTTCTCGTAAAAGTTGTCGATTTTCCAGTGCGGATACTGCCTCGCCCACTCATACCAAGTTTTATATTCGCTGGATTCTAATGCAGTGCAAGTTGATACAAGATGGCTCAATTGTTTCTGGATATTCATCGCAGGATCTGCATTTCGGGTTAACATAATTTTTCCAATATGTTTGCTCGGTATTATCTAGTTAGTAAGTATTAGTCCTGTAGAGCAAGTATAAATTTTTCGGTTTCAGTTTTTAAACCAGCTTTAAGTATCCATGGATGGGTATGCGGTTTGTATTATTATTATTTTTATTTTCTTTGATTCCTGGCGTTTACACATTTCTTTCCGGGTCCCGCCCAGGGATCTAAGGTTAGAAATGACATCTTAACACTTTCCACTGACAAAAATAAATTACATAGATAAAGCCCTTCGTAAGATGTGGGTTGTACTTGTCAGAACAATTTTTTGTATCTCCTTGAGGCATGGACTTCCAGGAATCCCTTCAATTAGTCTACTGCGATCTTTTCCAACCAGTCCTAGGGCTCCAACTACAACAGGGATTGTTGATGTTTCCATATGTCATATTTTCGAGATTTCTATTTCAAGGTCCTTGTACTTTGACAACTTTTTGAATATCTTCAAAGATACATTGAAGTCAGCAGGGACTGCCATATCAATAAGGAGGCATCGTTTTTGTTTGTGGTCTTTAATAACAATATCTGGCCGGTTGGCCTTGATTGTTCTGTCAGTGTGTATTGTGTAGTCCCATAGAATTGTAACAGGTCCTATCTCCGTAACTGGGTCTGGGTGGTGTTCATACCAGTTTCTTTCAGTTTCCTTCCCGTAGAAGTTGCAGATTTTTATTATTATTATTATTATTATTATTATTATTATTATTATTATTATTATTATTTACTTTGATTTCTGTTGTATACAGATTTCCCTCCTGGTGTCAACCAGCAACCTAAGATTAGTAATGGCTTCATCAGATTTGCTACTGGTCAATTTTGTTAAAAAAAATTACAATTAAACAACCCAAGATCACAGACATTTAACATAGATAAAGCTTGCTTTTCGTAATGTGTGAACTGTAATTGAATTCATTTTTTTTTTTTTTTGGTATTTCTTTAAGGCCTGGATTACCAGCTATAGCCTTAGTGTGTCTATCGGTATTTGATATCTTCATGTCGCCGACAGATATTTGTTTGTGTTAGATTGAAAAGCAAGACAAAATTGAATATGTAGGTATGTATTACATACAGACGCTAATAACTGCGTAATTCATCATTCATAATTCATTCATAATTTTTTTTTTCTTTTTAAAGGTGTCATGCACTTTCAGTGTGTGAATGATCAGGGCCCTCCACAACTTTCTATCCACTGTATTTCTTAGTAAGTTGTGTCTTTTCAACATTGCTTCAACTCTCTGTACCGCCTTCCGTCAACGTCATTAAGTAGGTTCCTCGCAGTATAAATCACTCCATTCTATCTTCAATATATCCAGTTAGTTTGAAATTCTCCAAGTCCTCTATGTGTCCAATAAATTTCAGTGTCTTTTTTCTGATTATAATATAATGAGAATCTTCATTTTTGAATCCATTTTACCTTAAAAATGTCTTGTTACTTCCATTTTCAGCCCGTGGTATTCTTAGCGTCCTACTGCAGGACATAATTTTTGTTGCCTCTTTCTTCATCTGTTAGGAGATTGTCCCGCATTCACCGTTGTATGGAAGGATCGATATTGTATAAATGCTTATCATCATCATCCTATGTCTTATTGTTTTTTTAGGTTTTGAACGGAGTCTTTCCTTATTCGAATGCTTCTTCGTATTATGGTGTCATATTTCTGTACTCAGTTTAAAAAAAAGTCCTGTTATTTAAATGCAAGGATTTCCTTGATTTTGCTATCTCTAATTCGTATCTCACATCTTGGACTGTTCTCCTTGCTGACAACAATGTATTCTTCTTCTGATATCTGCTGCGTCCATTAAGGACGAGGGCGACGAGGGCGACGAGGGCGATCATGGCTCTATCTAACCCCCTAGCACTTGTATCTTTTAGTAACATTTATATCCTTGACAAGCCATTTACCGTTTTGCCATCCATTCACGTAAATTAGGTCCGCTGCCTTCGATATATTCTCTGCATATTAAAATCTCTAAGACACCAATCTTCTATGGGCGCGGAAAATTCCAATTGCTCTTTCTGATTCTGAGTTAAAGTGCATTACATTATAAAACAGTCAGGCTTGTCGTTACCCTTATTACTTCTTTTCAAAACTATTTTTGAAAAGACCAGCCTTTTTAGGAGATTTTTTATTTGATACATGAAAAGAGTCAGTATATATTGCTTATACGATAACATTTATCTTGCGATGGAAGAACTCTTCTTTGTCTCAGTATTTGTAATGTGGAAACTTGTAAGTCAAATCCATGAAGTCTCTTCCAATTTCCGTCAGATTTTAGTTAGCAATAAAAC